CATAAAGACAGTGGGAGGGTTAATCTTTAATTTTGTCTGGTTTCCTTCCCATCTAACAAATTTGGCAGAATCAAGAGACACAGATTAAATCTCAAAAACACTCACATTTTAATATCTTTGTTAAGACAGAAACTTAGGATTCGTCACTTTCCGAAGTCCCGACAATTCACCCTGAAAACAAGTTCTCTGAACATAACGTACAAAAAGTGAGTTAAATTTTAGTTTACCGTAAATCCTCTAATACAGGCCCGGGCCTGTATTTTACAGAAGCTCATCAAGCTCCAGGCTTTTATTGGAAGGAGGGCCAGAATTAGAGGCAGGCCTCTATTTCTATTTGAGCAAAATGAACTAATGGTTCGCTGGCGTTTTTGACCAGGGATTCCCAAAGTGTGGTGCGCGCACGCCGCTAGGGGGTGTGCAAGGTGAAAAGTGTAATGGCTGCAGAGCTCAGAGAAGTCTGTCATATGTCACCATTAGTGTAGCCAGAAACTCATTTGTGGGTGGGCCTAAGAAAAAGTAAGTGGGCCCAATAAATGCAATTGAAAACAAGTATATTTTTGCACGTGTGCGTGTCCTCCGCATGTGTTCTAGCTTCATAATAATGCGCCGAGCTTCAGCACTCTTGCCTGCGCACGCCGATATGTTCCGTATTTGATCATTTTTAACGATGTTGGAGAAATCTGAAGGTGGCGAGTCATTCTGGCAGATTGTAATTAACACTCTGTCTCATGCAGGTGTTCTGACATTGTAAACCTCACACACAGAACATTGTGGATGTAACTAAATAAATCAAGAAATTATTCTTTTAACAGCGCACTGAAGATCTGAAGTTCAGAGCGCGTCTGTCAGTCAGACGTGTTCCAGCGGAACCACGGCTCACGGGGGCACATGTGAGCACATCTGGGCTGGGCAGAAGTAATTTTACAACATTGGTTTAAATAGCGCCAAATAACGAGACGCGGTGACTGGAGCGGCTCATGGAGCTGTGCCGCGCGCGCGCGCACACACACACACACACACACACACAAACTCCAGCGCTGTGCCGTCAGACTGAATGCAGAGATGAGTGCTGCCTCCTCTGTGATAAAAACTTTTAAGAGGTTTTATAACAACATCTTTCATTCCAGGTCAAATTATGATATTAGCTTCTATTTTGGGATGACGTGTTATCGGGTCCGCTCCAGCCAGTGACTCCGAACCTGCAGCATTTGTTATTCCAGTCCGCGTGACAGCTGATTGCAGATTCAGCCACACCATAAAACAGCAATAAGTCGGTCTGAGGCAAAAGTGAACCTCATGGATAGCTTTCCATATTTTCCCCTATAGACATTTGATTACGCACAAGTAGGTGACCAGTTCAGGTTTACGCAGAGCAGAAGGAAGGAGAGCGCTCTGGCCGCACAGGTTAAACGTTCCTACTTTAAGAAAACCGTTAAATTGCATTTTTTTAATGTGCTACCTGGGCACTCTAAATGTTTATTTAAAATTAAATCAAAGAAAATTGTAATGGTATCGAATGTTTATTAACTACTATTTAAAAAATGAAAGTGATGGGGAAAAAGGTCGATCATATTTTCTTTAACCCTGTCTGTTTAGCTTGACGTCACATGACAGTGACTCGTCGATGACAGGCATAACAAGTCACTATAGAGCGGTGAAGTTGACTAGTGACTAGTTCATACAACCCCTACTGCTCCCCAGAGCATTCTGCAGCATAATCAGCACGTTCTCTTTGAACTTGATATTAAATTTTCGCCTCCTCTTAGTCTCCGCACCTGCCATGGTTAAAGTTACCCTCACGGTCTGTCACTGGCAAATCAAAAGTGAGATGGATGACACAACCCCCCCCCCCCCCCCCCCGTGGTACTTTCTTGTTACCACATTCCACCCAGCCACAATAAAAAAACGGCCATTATTCACCTCCGCCGACTCCGACACCGGCCAAAATGTGATACCCGGCTGTTAATTGAATACAGGCTAATATTAGAGGATTCACTTATTCTTTTTTGTTGTAGATTTTTTAAACAAACCTGGTGACTTAAATCTTAAAAACGTACATATTTTATCATCTTGGTTAGGATTGAAGCTTAGGATGGAATCTGTGAAAAAATTACTTGACTAGACAAGACAGCTTTATTTATATAGCACATTTGCCAAACAAAGGCAACTCAATATGCTTTACAGCAATAAAGGACAAACCAAAAATGAATGAACAACAGAATTAGATATAAAACACTGAAGACTAAGTGTAAAATATCTGCCTCACATGTCCAGAAACAAAGTATAGCCACCATCTAAGGACTTTTTTTATATAATTATGCTCCTTACACTCCTTCGGTTCAGCTGTGAGAACTCCAGACAGCAAGTTCTGAGGACTGTCGTCTAGTTAGCTAGCTAGCTATTTCAAACTCATCTGGAAGTTTTGTGCTAAACACCATTAGCTTAGAGATGTTTATTTATTTCTTGTTCATCTACACCAAGATGCGTTAGATCATCTAAAGTAGTCAAATCTAAATCCCTAGGTTATATTTTGTTAACTTAAATCATGGAGATACAGCTCTGGGTAATGGCTGGAGACGGGGGTCTAGCTCTCCAGCTAGTGTGGATGTGCTCAGTTACCTGGATGTAAACAATAACATGCAATGGGCCTATATTTTATTGTGTTTGGTGAAAACTGAACCAAAGGATGGAATCGGTCTATATAAAAAAAGAGACTTATAAAATATTATATCATTTTAGATACACCTTTTGCTAAAAGACATTTTTGTGCTAAGGATCTCAAACATTGCTTTTACTAAAAGAAGAGAAGCTGTGCTTTTAGGTGCACTTTTAAGTCAACTAAATGTTGTATTAAACCCCATTTTGTTGCTGGGACCCTATTAAGATGTCACTCTGTAACCCCTCAACCCTGACCCTAACCCTACCACCATAACACTTAACTCATTAACTGCTCATTTTTTTACTATGTGGGCGGAACAAGCCCCCGCACCGTGAGAACAAAGATCCCAGCTCTAAAGCCTATCTTCATCTGCGTAAGTCACACATCATGTGATAAGGACGCAGAAAATCCATGTGTTAGCAGATCGTTTTGGGCCGTTGCCGTAAAAAAAGCGAGGCTCAAACCGGAAAAGCTTCTGCCGATCACAATTCAACAACGGATTATGAAAAAACAGATAACGCTTGAAACGCACGGATTCTTCCTGATTTTAGAGGCGAGTCTACTCTTTGTTTTGTTTGTTTTGGCAATGTCATCGTCCTAGCGTGCAACGTTTTGTGACTCTTAAAAATACAGTGAAAACGCTGAAAAACGCTGGCAGCAAAGGGCTTTTCTGATCAGGAAACTGCTGGTAGTGAATGAGTTAAAAGCAATGTAAAAACACAGAAGTCTAAAATACTTGACACAACTGAACATGGGTCAGTCGGGAGCACAACCAACCCCCACCCCCGCAGCAGAGATCTGACGAACTACATGTTTGAAAAGTGCAGAGGTTTTTGACCCTAATAGCCTTCACCTTACATTGGTAAAGTCTTACTCAAACACAAAAATACTGCTTGCTTGCAATCAGTTAGGTCAGTACTGCCCCCTATTGCTAGGAAAGTACACACTGTCACTTAAAATTTGTCCACAGAGCTCACAAACAGAAGGTTTCTATCCTGTGTGGACACTCAAGTGCTTGTTTAAAGTTGACTTATGGGTAAATCTTTTTCCACAGAGCTCACAGGCAAAAAGTTTATGTCCTGTGTGGACTCTCATGTGATTGTTTAAACCTGACTTACGGGTAAATCTTTTTCCACAGAGCTCACAAACAGAAGGTTTCTGTCCAGTATGGATTCTCATGTGATCGTTTAATGTTGACTTTTGGGCAAATCTTTTTCTACAGAACTCACAGACAAAAGGTTTCTGTCCTGTGTGGACTCTCAAGTGATCGTTTAAACCTGACTTACGGGTAAATCTTTTTCCACAGAGCTCACAAACAAACTGTGTCTGTCCTGTGTGGATTCTCATGTGACTGTTTAAAGTTGACTTTTGTTGACATCTTTTTCCACAGTGCTCACAGACAAAAGGTTTATGCCCTGTGTGGACTCTCATGTGATCGTTTAAAGTTGACTTATGTTTAAATCCTTGTCCACAGTGCTCACAGACAAAAGGTTTATGCCCTGTGTGGACTCTGATGTGATCGTTTAAAGTCGACTTTCGGGTAAATCTTTTTCCACAGAGCTCACAGACAAAAGGTTTATGTCCTGAGTGGACTCTCATGTGATCGTTTAAACTTGATTTTCTCCTAAATATTTTTCCACAGTCACCACAACTAAATGATTTTAGTTCTTTCTGGACTTTCCTATATGAGTCTACAGGTTGCTTAAGTCTAACCGATTTCTTTTTAACCAAAAAGCTGGAAGACCTTATTGCTGAATGACTGGTTACTCTCACATGATTCTGGAGAGACTGCTTGTCATGAAATCGTTCACCACACTCAAGACAGTTAAAGGATATGTTGACAATCTTAACATCTGACTCAGAAGACCTGTTCTCATTGCGGTCATGGCCTTCGTCTCCCGTTTCAGACCCAGAGTCTGACATCCCAGAGTCTAGATTCATATCATCATCTCCACTAACTTCAGTCTCTGAAGAATCAGATGTTTGTTCAAGAGGGTTCAGATCTGGGTTCCTGCTAGTTCCTGATACTCCACAAGTTTCTACTGTCATCTGGTCAGATGGGCTGCTGGTTGGAACATCTCTGTCTTCTATTTGCTGCTGATGAAGCTGTGATAACAGACGTTTCTCTTCATCATCCTCACTCTTTATAGAAACAGCACTGAATTTAAACCTGGCAGAATCAGGCTCCTCCTTCAAATGGAGATGCTCTCCCTTAAGACTGGTCCAGAGCTTCTCCTTTTCCTCCTTTATGTGGAGGTGTTCTGGGTCCTGCTGGTCCACACCAGCACTCTGTTCTTCAGGATCTTCTTTAACCTGCACCATCTGTTGAACATCTGTTGGAAACAGAAACACATAACGTGAATTACCGACTGCTGTAACTTTAAATTCACACATATGAGAGGTGTTATTGCAAGTGTCTCCAACATGTTGGTCATGAGCTACCGGTAGCTCTTGAAAGTCACTGGCCTGGAAGCAGCCAGTGAGCCACCCAGCCTGACTTGTAATTAACAAGGGATGGATTTCTAATTTGATGGTGTTGTAAGGAGCACACAGAAGCCGCGATCAGACAAGAGATGCGCCGAGCTGCGGGGAGAACCAGCCGTCAGCCATGGTTAAACAGTACATGTTAAAATCTAAGCTCAGCTCGGCAGTGACCTAAAATACAGTGGGGCAAAAAAGTATTTAGTCAGCCACCGATTGTGCAAGTTCTCCCACTTAAAATGATGATTGATAGGTACACTTCAACTGTGAGAGACAGAATGTGAAAATAATCCATGAATTCACATGGCAGGATTTTTAAAGAGTTTATTTGTAAATCAGGGTGGAAAATAAGTATTTGGTCAATAACAAAAAATCAACTCAATACTTTGTAACATAACCTTTGTTGGCAATAACAGAGGTCAAACGATTACTATAGGTCTTTACCAGGTTTGCACACACAGTAGCTGGTATTTTGGCCCATTCCTCCATGCAGATCTTCTCGAGAGCAGTGATGTTTTTGGGCTGTTGCCGAACAACACGGACTTTCAACTCCCTCCACAGATTTTCTATGGGGTTGAGGTCTGGGGACTGGCTAGGCCACTCCAGGACTTTCAAATGCTTCTTACGGAGCCACTCCTTTGTTGCCCGGGCGGTGTGTTTGGGATCATTGTCGTGTTGGAAGACCCAGCCACGTTTCATCTTCAAAGCTCTCACTGATGGAAGGTGGTTTTGGCTCAGAATCTCACGATACATGGCCCCATTCATTCTGTCCTTAACACGGATCAGTCGTCCTGTCCCCTTAGCAGAAAAACAGCCCCAAAGCATGATGTTCCCACCCCCATGCTTCACAGTAGGTATGGTGTTCTTGGGATGCAACTCAGTATTCTTCTTCCTCCAAACACGACGAGTTGAGTTTATACCAAAAAGTTCTACTTTGGTTTCATCTGACCACATGACATTATCCCAATCCTCTGCTGTATCATCCATGTGCTGTCTGGCAAACTTCAGACGGGCCTGGACATGCACTGGCTTCAGCAGCGGAGCACGTCTGGCACTGCAGGATTTGATTCCCTGCCGTTGTAGTGTGTTACTGATGGTGACCTTTGTTACTGTGGTCCCAGCTCTCTACAGGTCATTCACCAGGTCCCCCCCGTGTGGTTCTGGGATTCTTGCTCACCGTTTTCATGATCATTTTGACCCCACGGGATGAGATCTTGCGTGGAGCCCCAGATCGAGGGAGATTATCAGTGGTCTTGTATGTCTTCCATTTTCTGATAATTGCTCCCACAGTTGATTTTTTCACACCAAGCTGCTTGACTATTGTAGATTCACTCTTCCCAGTCTGGTGCAGGTCTACAATTCTTTTCCTGGTGTCCTTCGAAAGCTCTTTGGTCTTGGCCATAGTGGAGATTGGAGTCTGACTGTTTGAGGCTGTGGACAGGTGTCTTTTATACAGATGAGTTTCAAACAGGTGCCATTAATACAGGTAACGAGTGGAGGACAGAAAAGCTTCTTAAAGAAGACGTTACAGGTCTGTGAGAGCCAGAGATTTTCCTTGTTTGAAGTGACCAAATACTTATTTTCCACCCTGATTTACAAATAAATTCTTTAAAAATCCTGCCATGTGAATTCATGGATTTTTTTTCACATTCTGTCTCACAGTTGAAGTGTAACTATGATGTAAATTACTGACCTCTGTCATCATTTTAAGTGGGAGAACTTGCACAATCGGTGGCTGACTAAATACTTTTTTGCCCCACTGTACATAAATACAATTTTACTTACCGAAAAAAATGAAGTGGAGACTTCTTGGACACTCCATTAGTGCAATTAATGCCACAGCAAGTCATTTTGTCCATCAATTGTACAAAAAATATCCAAACAAGAATACACAAACACAGAGACTCAAAATCCTGGAACAGTTTCCAAGCCAGACCGAGGCTCTACTGAGGCCTTTCCACGGAGCTAGCTCTGTGGTCACGTGGGTCTGATGCTCATTAATTATACAGAATTTTTGGCTTTTAATACACTTAAACAGAAGAGTGAGAAAAAAATTCACCCCCCTCAGAGTTGTCATGAGTGTAAACTAGATCATTTAAACCAAAAACATGTTTTGGTACCAGGCTGTAAACATGTTTGTTTCTGCTGTGAAAATGGTATTTTTAACATGGGAGTCAATGAGGATTTGCTAGCTTCTGACACCAGCCCCTAGTGGATGAGGGTGGAACTGCAATTTTTGAGCCGCATTGTGGGGGCTTGGGAGAGCCCAGACACCCTGCGGAGAAAACTAATTTTGGACATTGTTTCCACTATCTAGTTCTTTCAGACACTATCCAAGCTCGTGACCATAGATGAGGGTGGGAACATCAAACAGGTAAATCAAGAGCTTCGCCTTCTGACTCAGCTCTCTTTTCACCACGTTGTGAGGACAAACCTGCTGACATGCAGCAGGACCGAGCGCAATTTGTGGCAGCGGCAGCGCTTGTGGCACTTGCAGTGGCAGCTCTGATACTTCCGGGTGGTGCCACGGCTTTTAGTGGCACCCGCGGCTTTTAGTGGCACTAGCCACGCCCCCTACCACTGCTGCCATTACACTTCCGGGTGGTGCCACGACTTTTAGGAGTAAGGTCTAGCTGCGGACATTGCCCAGGAAAAACGTTTTTCCTGGGCAATGTCCGCAGCTAGGTATTATTGGATTATTGACTTTTAGTGGCACTAGCCACGACCCCCTACCACTGCTGCTCTTGACTTTTAGTGGCACTAGCCACGCCCCCTACCACTGCTGCCATTACACTTCCGACTTTTAGTGGCACTAGCCACGCCCCCTACCACGACTTTTAGTGGCACTAGCCACGCCTCCTACCACTGCTGCCACGGTACCTGCGGCTGTAGGGACCTCAGTAATTGCAGCACTTATTGCATCATCGGCCTCATCATGCCAACGTTTTTATTTTTTACTTTATTAACAAAATCAAAACAAACAAGGCTGTCACCGAAAATATTTGAAATATTTCAAGCGGTTTACAAATGCGTTTCCCAGTCACTTCATGCATATACAGTGTAATGCAATCAGAAGCGTTAATGCATTTATTTTTTCCATCATTTTTGTTGCTCCCCCAGACGAATCCGTGACAGATCTAGTGGAAGATCCACAGACACTTCCGGGTGGAAGACCGGCGGTGGGCCACCGGCCTCCGGTACAGAGTCAGGAAAAGCAGGGGAGCACCAGAGCCAGATGGAGAGCGCCAGAGCAGTTCTCAATTTCTGAAATAATTTATGACAACTGCTACCAATGTGGATTGTGGAATAAAAAGAGATAAACTGTTAGTTTTCTCAATATTGTCATTGCAATCGGGGCAGATACCGCCATCTGCCGGCTTAAAATGGTTATTGCAGTACATTTTAAACTTTTTTAAAACTATTTCAATCTTCGTTTTCACATACATTCAGTTTACAATGTAACCTACATTCAACGTACTGAAGAATAAAGCAAATAAAAATGACCTCAGTTGAGGAAAATAAAAATTACATTTAGAATTTGCAACAATTACCACATGACACTACACCATAAAATAAATCATGATGCAAAATAATAATAAATTAAAAATGAAATATCATCAACAAACAAAAAATGTTCAGAGGTTAATATTTCAGCATTATATTTCAAACATGTATGATTAATTGGACTGTAATTTAAAGAACAAGAAACTCAGACATTGTTTCGTACTACTCATAAATCCATATGCACAATACAAAACTTTATTGTTGTGAAACCACAATATCTATTAACAATAAACTACATCCCCAAATCCGTTGTAGTGACAAAACAGCCTTTTCACTCCCAAGTTGTTTAAAATGTACTGCAATACCATTTTAAGCCGGCAGATGGCGGTATCTGTCCCGATTGCAATGACAATATTGAGAAAACTAACAGTTTATCTCTTTTTATTCCACAATCCACATTGGTAGCAGTTGTCATAAATTATTTCAGAAATTGAGAACTGCTCTGGCGCTCTCCATCTGGCTCTGGTGCTCCCCTGCTTTTCCTGACTCTGTACCGGAGGCCGGTGACCCACCGCCGGTCTTCCACCCGGAAGTGTCTGTGGATCTTCCACTAGATCTGTCACGGATTCGTCTGGGGGAGCAACAAAAATGATGGAAAAAATAAATGCATTAACGCTTCTGATTGCATTACACTGTATATGCATGAAGTGACTGGGAAACGCATTTGTAAACCGCTTGAAATATTTCAAATATTTTCGGTGACAGCCTTGTTTGTTTTGATTTTGTTAATAAAGTAAAAAATAAAAACGTTGGCATGATGAGGCCGATGATGCAATAAGTGCTGCAATTACTGAGGTCCCTACAGCCGCAGGTACCGTGGCAGCAGTGGTAGGAGGCGTGGCTAGTGCCACTAAAAGTCGTGGTAGGGGGCGTGGCTAGTGCCACTAAAAGTCGGAAGTGTAATGGCAGCAGTGGTAGGGGGCGTGGCTAGTGCCACTAACAGGCAAGAGCAGCAGTGGTAGGGGCGTGGCTAGTGCCACTAAAAGTCGTGGCACCACCCGGAAGTGTAATGGCAGCAGTGGTAGGGGGCGTGGCTAGTGCCACTAAAAGCCGCGGGTGCCACTAAAAGCCGTGGCACCACCCGGAAGTATCAGAGCTGCCACTGCAAGTGCCACTCGTGCTGCCGCTGCCACAAATCGCTCCTGCTGTCTCTCCTGACATGTCAGCTACCGAGTCTGGTAGAGACAACCCATTTAGTATAAGGACCTGAAACCCATTGTGGACGTCAAACTAGCAACCAGGATGATTTCAACCACTCACAAACTAGATCCATCTTTCCTAGAGAAAAACTTAATGACATACTAACTAAGGTGTTTTAATTGTTTAGCATTTTTCATTATTTTTTTATTCTTATTTCAGGTTTTTTATTCCATTTAGGTTCAGTTGAGCTGTCTTTTACCATTTGTTTGATCATTTTGGTAAACAAAGATAAAATTCAATCACTGCCTCCTCGTCTTGAAGTCCTGCTGTGTTAAAATCAAAGTTAGTTCAATAGTTCAAAAGCTCTGGAGCTTCTCTCCTCTGTGAAGAAAGAACCAGAGAGGTTCGGGCCGAGCTGCTGCAGCAGACTAAAAACCACATTATTTAATGATAACGCCTCATGAGTGCGGTACAGTAATGTCCCACCATGCAGTGATAATATATTCATCCATCCATCAGTACCTGTGTCCATGCTGTCCAGGTCCAGGTGGTGAAGAACACGCGATGAATCAGTCCCAGCTGATGGATGATCCTGAAGTGGTAGCAGGTTTTCTTTAGCCGTGTTTAGCTAACAGCTGCAACAGAAACAAAGCAGGAGAGCTGATTAAGATGCTGCTTCAGAACAAAGCAGGAGATTAAAGATCCAACGCTTTGGTTCTGGCCAAAGGAACAGCAGCAGATCCAGAGGGCAGGGAGTCTAGAGAAAAGCTTTTCTGACCCACAACCTGATTCTGGAGCTCCGATTGTCACGGAGACCGCAGAATTTCTTCTCTGGTTCTGGAAAGAACTCCACCAAGTTGTTGAGAGGAGAAGAAGGTTTCCACAGCCTGGTGAGAAGATTTCTGCAGCAGCAGCAGCAGCAGCAGTTAGTCGCTTTAGCTGATCAACTCTCCCAGAGACTGAAGAGAAGACATTTTTACTGCTGAGTCTTGTGACTGCCCGATCCGTACCGGAAACCCGATCGGTACCACGCATGCGCGAAAGGCGTCTACTTCCGCTCGAAGCATTTTACGATAGTTAAGGGTCAGAGTATCTGTTAAGATGTTAAAAATAATACGTATACATTAAAATGTTTGCAACTTTGAAACATTTCAATATAATGTAGGTAAAAAAAGAAAACGTCGGTCGGACCGTACAGAAGGTCTAGCTGCAGACGCAGCCCGGACAAACCACGCCCCCGACAAAACACGCACCCATGTGCCTGTTGAGCTCTCCCGAGCTCCCCTGGTGGTCAGAAAAGGGAAATATCTCAATATGAAGATCATTCTGTTTCAAAAAGCACAAACTGTAGATCTGTTGTGTGTATTTGTACTACATGATGGGTGCTTGAAAACAGTGTGTGTGTGTGTGTGTGTGTGTGTGTGTGTGTGTGTGTGTGTGTGTGTGTGTGTGTGTGTGTGTGTGTGTGTGTGCGTGCGTGCGTGCAGTACAGTACAGTGTGAGGAGCTGTACACCAACATCCGTAAACCTGTAAAGCTAAATGTGTACCTGTAAGAAACACTCACATGCATGTGAAATAAAATACAGTTGTGTGGGACATTTTCAACTACAAGTCTGTAAAGATAAGTGTACAGATCTGTTTCTGCACATGCTCAACTCTTTTAATACAATTGCACAGCTTCCCTCTCACACATTTGATTTTTGAAACTATTTTCATGATTAATATGTGTCAAAGTCAGTGTTGGGAGTAATGCGGTACAAAAGTAATTAATTACTGTAATGCATTACTTTTGAAAGAAAATGGTAATATTTACTCGGTACAATTGTCAGTAACGTGGTAATTACAATGCATTTTTAAACCCAGAATCAAGATGTGTTCCTTAAAAATTCAAATTGCGGGAAACCCGAAGAAAGATCCAGTATCTGCATATATTACGTCATTTATGGACTCAGCTTTGCGGGCAGAGAGGACGCCGCGGTAACGGCTCAAATACTCCAGCTGCGTCCTGCACGCGGCCGCTGTAACATTCACAAAATCGCTCCACTAAAACAAAATAATTCACCTGCGATCATTCATATCAACGCATATTCTCTGGTATTTTGTGCTTTTCTGACGTGCTTTGCCTCAGCTGAGTTCATAATCTGTGCCGCGGTGATTTCAACTCATTACTGCTGGTGCGCCGCGCATGTGAAGATTCCTCTGGCTGATAGTTAGAAAGTACGAAGTCTAGGAAACAGTTTTTTCTGGAAGACGGAGAGAACATGCAGGAAGGTTAGAGAGAGAAAGGGCAGGAAATTATTCAAATAAAATCAAGAAAACAAAACTAAGTGCTTGAAAAGAAAAAAGTAGGTAGATTTCTCCTCAATACACATTTTTACCAGTGAAAAGCAATAATATATAAGCATTTAATATTTATACATGTGATAGAATCAGATCACCCCAGAAGCCAGTCCCACATCCAGGGCCGTATCAAGGCATTTGGGGACCAAGGCAAATATAGGCTTGGAGCCCCCACCACCTCACTCCCTGATCAGTTAATATAAGAAGGCAGCATGCTGAGAGTGCAGTTTGTTGTTGCTTTTATTTAATAAACAATCATTTTAAAGCACTGTTATTATATCTGACTGTTTTAACAGCAATCCTAGCTCAGACACCACATCACTTTCCACATATATGTCATGAGCTCACTGAGTATCACATTACCAGATTCATACTGAAGTTGTATTGGTGAAAGTAACTTAAAGTAGCAAAAGTAGTGTAATGCCTTACATTTTAAAATCAGTAATATTGTAATGTAATGAATTACTTTAAAATGAGGGTAACAAGTAATAAATAATGCATTACTGTTTTGAAGTAACTTGCCCAACACTGGTCAAAATGCACAAGTTTGTAAATGTGTTGTCTGAGTCCATACAATACAGAGTGTGAAGATTGTGTGTGTGTGTGTGTGTGTGTGTGTGTGTGTGTGTGTGTGTGTGTGTGTGTGTGTGTGTGTGTGTGTGTGTGTGTGTTTGTCTTGCTTATGAACTTACATTAGAGACTGTGGCTCTGGGAATTACGTGGGGCCTCAGGAAATCCAAATTGGCCAGCAACCATTTCTGTTTGGGAGTGAGTTGTTTTTGGCCACTGCCGCTGGCTTTCGGCTTCATCAGTTTGCCATATTGTGTGCAAAGTGATGCCACACGTGTTTTCACCTCGTTCACTGAAAATCAAAGAAAATAGATTATAACATTTTGTGAAGTCTCTAATTTCCCTCTGGGATTAATAAAGTATTGTTGAAGTTGAATTGAATTACATCAGTTCGTTAGTTACTGTTTCAAGCAATAAATAGGCAAATGTATTATCTAATGTTACTACATGTTACTGTTAATATTGCTTGATTTTTACTAAAAACACTACAATTCATAGATGCTTACCTGGCAGCTGCAACTGTGTGGCAATTGCTTGCCAATCTTTCTCCCGGTTGTTGCGGTCGTGATACGTTTTTGTGCCCACATCGTAAAGGTTTGCGTGACCTTGCCAAAGTTCCACAAGTTGAGCCTCCATTGCTGAAGTCCAAACAACACGTTGTTGTTCCGTGGCCATGCTGCTGCTCTTGAATTGTTGTAGTCGTCGACTCGTCGTCTTGCCTGATTTGTTTGTTTGTTTGTCGCTTCCGCTTCCTAAATTCTGCCCCTGCTTTCGTGTTTGCGCATGCGCCGTGAACGGTTCTGATACATTTTGGGTCGCAGCTGCTCGCAGCGCTGCATCAACTGTGCGATACCCTCACGAGGGACGAGCAAAATTTTAAACACGCCAGAAGTTCGTGCGACCTCACCACTGCTGATCGGCAGCTGGTCACGTGGTGTTAATCGCCTCTCGTAACCCCCTGTACACTACACGACCGCTCGGCGCAAAACTCGCCCCGATGTCATGGATTCTCACACGACTGGAAAATCGGCTCAAAAAAGTGAAAAAGTCGCACAGTGTACGCCCGGCTTAAGGGAGGTATGCGACGATGATGATATAGAAGAAATGGAAGCAACATGAGATATCTCAAAAGAGGAGAAAATCAACAGGTTCCACACACCAACTAAAAACCCTAACCCGAAGAAGAAAAGAGGGTCTGGAAACCAGTCAGTGGAGGACGAGAGTACTGCCTCAGCCATCTTGAAAGCAGTCAATGCTTTAACAGTAAAAAAGGATGAACAGACGGCCCTGCTTCGTAAGTTGGATCAACGCATCGAAAAGAACACAGCTGAGATCGGCCAGAACAAGGAGTCAATTACCAAGCTTCAAGAGAAGGTTATTGAATTGCACAAAGAAAATAAATTACTGCGCAGTCTTTGCAAGGACAAGGCTCGTTACAAGAGAAAGTGGAACTTGAGGTTGATAGGTCTTCCTGAAAAATCCAAGGAAAATGTAAGAGAGTTGGTAATTGGGTTACTCACCAGAGTTGTGCCAGTTTCTGTGGATAAACTGAGGGATACCGTGGATACGGTTCATCGGCTTGGAGTAAAAGGGAATGCTGCCTCTTCCACGATCCCGAGAGCTGTAATCATCCAGTTCAGCATGAAAACGCTCCGAGACGAGGTTTGGAAAAAGTCTAAGGATGCGAGAGTCTGCAAGGAGATGAACGTTCGCTTCAGGGAGGATTTCTCCAAGGAGGACCGGGAGGCTCGCACTAAACTGTGGCCGCTAGTGCAGGAAGCCAGGAGGAAAGGGAAGAGGGCCTTTCTGAAAGATGGGTATGCCCTTATTGACAACAAGAGAGTGGATCCAAACTGAATTAATAGGTGGGATTCTATTCTACTCTACCTCAAAGACATGTGATTGTTAAAAGGTTATAAAGATAGCTTATTTCTTAATAAAGGGTTATTGCACATAGTTTATGCATTTTTGTTGTCTCTGATGACTTTTTTGTATGGTGTGGATTCCCTGGTGACATAAAATCAAGCTGTGCTGCTGAGGCTTCGTCCTCCCGTTAATGTAGCGGGTTGCGCGAGATGGGAACCTCACGGATGGCGCTTCTGGTTGGACTCCCCGTGTGCTCTCTCCCCCCAAGCCGTGATGTGTCGGCCCTCTGTCTGCCCCAGCTTGAGAAGGAAGCATCGGAGAAGACGGGGAAAGAGAGGTAGCCGGCGCGTGAGACGTCGGGCTGGATCCCTGAAGAAGCGGCTGGCCCGATTTGGCACAGCTTCTGACCCGGTGGTTCCAAGATGTCTCATGGATTACTCTGCGCCCTGCCTAGGGAACTTGGCCGGCTCTGAGGGTGAGCTGGCACTGCGCCACGGCCAATCGGCTCGAAGACCTCGCCAGACTGGGGTTTGCTGGGAGAATCTGCGCTCGGTTACAGGCACAGAGTAAGAGGGGACTGGGTCCGTGCGCGATCTCGGTGCCGCAGCCCCGCCGCAGTTTGGTCTAGTCAATGCCAGGTCTGTGCTGAACAAAATTTTTATTCTTTGTGACTTTTTTATTCAGCATGACTTGAGTTTTCTGCGCATCTGTGAGTCCTGGATCCCGTTTGGTGACTCAAGCGACCTGCTGGAGCTGGTACCACCTGGCTGCTCCTGTTTTAATATCCCCAGATCACATGGCAGAGGTGGAGGGCTGGTTGCTGTTTTTAAATCCAGCTTTCCTTGTAAACAGCTTACACCCAACATGTAATTTTCTTCCTTTGAATTGTGCTTATTTAAACTGTGCATCTCCCCCCGCCTGCTCGTTGTGCTGATTTATCGCCCTCCAAAGACTGACTCTAACTTCCTTAATGATTTCTGTGATCTTGTGGCAGGATTGCATCCTAAAATATGACTATGTCCTATTTTTTGGTGATTTTAACATCCATATCTGCTGTCCTGACAATGTGCCTACTATAGGTTTTTTTAATTTGCTAGATTCATTTAATCTAACTCAATCGGTATCGTCCCCAACTCATGCCAAGGGTCACACCCTGGACCTGGTTCTCTTTTTTGGTCTCGCCGTCACGAACCTTGTGACTTTGCCTCCTGTGTTCTCTGACCACTCTCCTATACTCTGTTATGTTACATTGCCATGTCCTGTCCCTGTGTGTGAAGCTCCAGCTACTAGGTTCAGAGCCCTGGATGCAGAAACTGTTTCAAAGTTTGTGGACTGTATGTCTGTAAGGTTAGAGACCTTTAACCCTGATCCA